TCCCGCCCGGCTCCGAGAGTTTCTTGTTGGGGCGTCTCAGAGTGTTTGCGGGGCGCCCGAGGCCGTGGGGGCGGGCGGAAGGCCGTCGGGGGGAGATGGGGGACTCAGGGCTCCCGGCCCGCTCTCCCCGCCGCACGCGTCCCTTCCTCTCCCCGAGCCAGTTCCCGGCTGGCTGCGGCTGGGGCACAGGCGTGCTTTGGGGAGGCACTGTCCTGAGGTTTTTTTGCAGCGGGGCGCGCCTCCAAGTTTGGGTTAGAGTGTGATTGTGTTTCGGGGAAGGAAAGGCAGCCAGCGCGGAGGGAGGGATGCCTCTGTCTGCGGGAGTCCCTCTCCTCTTCCCCCAGACCTTGGGAATGAAAGGGAGAGGGGTGGTGTCGGGGCTGCAGCTCGGTGGGCCCGGCCGGGGGAGCAGGCTGAGTAACCGGCTCTGGGGCCTTATTGTAAAGCTAGAGGTGGATCAGGCGGTGGGACTCTTTCCCCATACCCTCCCCTTACCAAGTATGCCTGCGAGGTGGAGCAGCCTGGTGGGGCTTGTGTGCTGAGGGTAGAGACCGGAGCCCTCTGAGGTCTTTAGGGAGACCAAAGGCTGGGGAAGCAAGGAGAAGGTAATGCTGCACCTCCAGATACAGGCGAGGCGCTTCTACATCTGGAAAGGCCTGGAATTGAGGCCCATATCCCAGCATGGTGGATGGTGCTGCCACTGAAGGGCCCTGCCTGGGCAGTGCCTTCTGCTAGGAACTTTTCTGAAGTCATATTAAATCCCCAGGAGCCTCCTTTTGCCAAGGAGGGCAGGGGCAGAGGGGCCCTGGAGAGAGGATGGACAGGAAGTAGCCAGGAAGAAGGTTTGGGGAAAGCGGTGGACAGAGCCATCCTTGGGGCTGGGCCTTGGCCTGCTTCAGACTTTGAGTCTCAGGCTGGAGGATCAGGGTTTGGGAGGGACTTGAGGTATGGAAGGCACCGGGCCTCAGTCTGCCAGGCTGAATGGACATGTGGGAGCCCGTGGTGCCTGGAGTAGCAGATCTGCAGAGAGTGAAGAGGCCAGGGGCCAGGGGAGGAGGAGATTGTTGGCACAAGCTCAGGAGCCTGTCTCTGGGGAAGAAGGAGGTGGTCTGTGGTTCATAGTGATGGGCTCCTGGACAAGGAGGATTGGGGGACCATATAGGGAAGTTTTGTGGCTTTGAACAGTGCCCTCCCCTCTTTCCTACCATACCAGCCTGATGTGGGGTGAGTTCTCCAAGATGGGCAGTGCCTGGAGTGGAGCCCGGGGCGGGATGGTTGCAGTTGGTTGGACAATTACAGAGCTCTGAAGCTATCCCCTTGTGGGGAGTCAGAGTGTTCTTGGGAGGGTCATGTGTTCCCCTGGACAGTGTCTGCCCTTTCCTCTGTGGGTATGAGCCAGATGTTAGGATGTGCTTCCAGGGGGCTGGGAACATGGCCAGAAACAGATCCTTTGGGAACAGAGCTCTGGGCCAGTGGTGCTGGTGAGGGTAGTAACAGGTCAAGGGACTGGTAAGTGGGAGGAGACTGAGGCAAAATGTCATGGGGTGGGGTGGGAAACCTGCTCACTCTGGGCTCTGTCTTTAGCAGCTCTGGGGCCTGACAGCCGAGGACACAGGGACTGATAGAACCAGGCGTCTGACTGGCTGGGGAGATGGGTGTTCTTGCTCATGACTTTTCTTTCATTCCATCTCTTGGACACTGGCAGAGTTTTGGGTTCAAAATGGTGTAGGGTGAGGAGAAGAACTATTTATTGTGCACTATGTGACAGGTACTATTAGAGTCTTTCCTCACAACTATTACTATTCCCATTGTACAGATGAAGAAACTGACCCAGGGAGGTTAAGTAACTTGTCCAAGGCTGTGAAGATAGCAATAATCACAATAAGGTTTGAAACCTGGTCTCTCTCTGAAAATCACGCTCTAATGGTGTATTTTGAAGAGCCAGGCTTTCTTTGGTGACCTTTTGCAAGTGACAGCCTGATCAAAAGTCTTGGGTTTCTGACTGCCCCTCCAGATGGTGCTGTTGGTGTTGTTAAGGAGTCTGAAGGGTGTGCCTCTCTGTGGGATATAGGAGAAGGGATGCCGAGAACACTTGGCTGAGGGTGAACCAGGGGTGGGGGTTTCCTCTGTGCAGAGAGATCCCAGTTTGCATTCTGCTTTGTGGGCCCCTGGGATCTGATTGAAGCATAGCTTGTCCGGCTGGAAAGGCTGATCCTGTGGCCACCTAGGGGAATCGCTGGGTACTCTCCCCTTGTCCCCTAGTGAGTACAAATGTCAGTGCTGCTGATTGCAGGTATAAGTACAAGGAGCCCCTCAGGGTGCCCTGTGGGAGTGGAGGAGTGTGGCACTGGTGGGGACACAGGCATCCTCTTATGACAGTGCCCTCATTGTCACCTCTTAAGCTGGGCTCAGCTAGGAGATACATTGAGGGTGTTGTCATGGAATCCTTCCACCCAGTTTAAGACACTCACTCCAGGAGACCTGAGCTCTGGGACTGATTTGGTTACTTGTGATCTTTGTAACTTGGGCCAGCCATAAAAAAACGCAGCGGAGCTCAGTTTTTTGTTCTATGTTTTTCTGTAAAATCTATCCTGTGCCCCAGGTGGCCATAGGGCCAGCTTCACAGGGTTTTGGTGAAGATCAGATGGAATTAGACATGTGAAAGGACCTTGAAAAGTTTAAAGCACAGAGAAAGTGCATGGGACTATTATCCATCCATCCACCCATTCATCTACTCAATGAACATTTATTTAGACCCTAGAGAGGTTGCAGATATACCAGTGAGCAACACAGACCAAAATTCTTGCCTTCATGAAGTTGACATTCCATTTAGGAGAGGCAGTGAACAAATAAGAAAACATATAGAATGGCAGTTGCTGATAAGAGCTGTGGAGAAGAATAAAGCATAAAGCTAGGAAGAGAGATAGGAGCTCCAAGAAAGAGGGTTGCTGTTTTGATAGAGTGGTCAGGGAAAACTCACGATAAGGGAACATTTGAGCTGTGCCCTGGAGGAGCTCTTGTTCCAGGCAGAGGGAACAGCAAGCAGCAAGGCCCCAGGCTGGCCTGTGCATCGTGTATCAGGGACCAGCAAAGAGGCTAAAAGGACCGGAGTGCAGTGAGAGAGATGAAGAATCATAGGATTATTATTATTTCACATCAGCTGTTCTTTACCAAAGCCCTTGAGCTTTCTATCTTTTCAACATAAATTTATTGAGCCTCTACTGTGAGCCAAGTTCAGTACTTGGTGCTGGAAATAAAGCACTGAGCAAAATAGATATAAGCTATGTATAGTCAGAAGGATAGAGACACACATTAAACAAAGGATGATTTAATTATAATAGTGATAAGTACCATGGAGGAAATGTACAGAGGGTAAACAGGGAACCAAACTTAGCTGGGACATCTTTCCTGAGGAAGTTCCATGTAAACTGTGACCTGAGGGAGAAGTTGAATTTAGCTTGGCGAAGTGTGCCTAGTGTGTGAGTGTGTGTGTTTGAGTGTGATGGGGAAGGATGTGGAAAGATTCCCTTTTGTACAGAGGTCACCTACTGGCAGCTCACTGGCTGAATCCATTCCATAGACTTGATTTATTTGGCTTGCAGCATTGAAAAATATGAATTACTTGCCAACATTTAAAAATCAGGAGATGTCTTATTAAGATCTACATATTTGTTTTCAGCTTCTGTTGAAAAATCAGATCAGGCTCCACTGGGACACCATGGGCAACAATATGCTGGGTGTATACCCTTCTGAACCAGAGGTGGCTTTGCTTACTGACGCAGGCAGTACCTTTTAGGGAAGAGGCGAATGTCGAAGTGTACTGCTTTGGAATCAGATGGATCTGGGTTAGAATCTTGTTCTCACACTTATGTGGCTGCTTGATCTTGGGCAGGTTACCTCACCTCCCTCTTCTCAGTTTCTTCACCTGCTGATACCATTTCCTCACCTTGGGGATACCATTGTCTTCTTTGGAGTCATTTTATGAGGGTGATGTGTCTGAAGCACTGAACTTGGCAATGGGAAGTGCTCAGTTAATAATAGCTCCTGGTGGTGGCAGGCTATGATGATGATATTAATACCGTGTCATTCTTTTTCTCCCTGCAGCATGTCATGGTTTAGTGGCCTTCTGGTCCCCAAAGTGGATGAACGGAAAACAGCCTGGGGTGAACGCAATGGGCAGAAGCGCCCTCGTCACAGGACTCGCACCAGTGGCTTCTGTGCGCCCCGATATATGAGCTGCCTCCAGGATGCACAGCCACCCAGCCCCAGCCCTACAGCTCCACCTCGGTGCCCCTGGCAGGAGGAGGCCTTCATCCGGAGGGGTGGCCCAGGCAAGGGCACTGAGCTGGGGCTGCGGGCAGTGGCCCTGGGCTTTGAGGACACTGAGACAACAGCAGCGGTTGGGGTGGCTGAGGTGGCACCCGATGTAGCACCCAGGAACAGGCGATCCTGCTGGCGCCGGCTGGTGCAGGTGTTCCAGTCGAAGCAGTTCCGCTCAGCCAAGCTGGAGCGCCTGTACCAGCGGTACTTCTTCCAGATGAACCAGAGCAGCCTCACGCTGCTGATGGCGGTGCTCGTGCTGCTCACAGCTGTGCTGCTGGCCTTCCATGCTGCGCCCGCCCGCCCTCAGCCTGCCTACGTGGCCCTGCTGGCCTGTGCAGCCATCCTCTTCGTGGTGCTCATGGTGGTGTGCAACCGGCATAGTTTCCGCCAGGACTCCATGTGGGTGGTGAGCTACGTGGTGCTGGGCATCCTGGCAGCTGTGCAGGTTGGGGGTGCCCTGGCAGCCAACCCCCATAGCCCATCAGTAGGCCTTTGGTGCCCTGTGTTCTTTGTCTACATCACCTACACGCTCCTACCCATCCGCATGCGGGCAGCTGTCTTCAGTGGCCTGGGCCTCTCCACCCTACATATGATCTTGGCCTGGCAACTCAACCGTGGTGATGCCTTCCTCTGGAAGCAGGTGGGTGGTCAGGGAGACAGGTATGGGGACACTAGCCTGGGAACGAGAAGGAGTCTGGTAATCGAGGGTGGGTGAGTGACGGGTGGATACAGGGTGTAAGGATGTCTGGTTATATCTGGGAGGAGGGGCAAGTGATAGGATGCCAAGTTTCAGGGGTTGGCCTCCATTTGGGATCTGGGGCAGAGGGCACTGTTGAGGGGAGGGAGGGCTGGCTCCTGGACCCAAGCCTGTACTCTTACTGTGGGCCACAGTCTACAGCTCTTCAGCCTGAGTCCCTTGAAATAGTGTAGTGTAGCCTGTAGTGACATAATGTGGGGCTGGAGGTGGGACTGATGTTTCAGGCATTGACATGTCTGTTTCCAAGTTGACACCTGAGACTCAGGCCCTGGTGCCATCTCTGAAAAGTAGCTCTAGGTGGTGATCTGGAGGAATCGAGCAGGTTTTAGATGGAGTTAGCAAGGGAGGAGTTGTCTCTCTTCTGGACCAAGGCTATTTCTGAGAGGACAGGGAAGGTGAAGCGTGGGGTCAGTTATCTCCTGGGCTGGGAGTGGTTTGAATGAGGCTGGACTGTAGAAGAGAGGGGCGTTAGGGTCTGAGCTCATCTGCCCTCTCCCACTGGACTCCGGGTATCTGGCAGCCCTGCCTTAACTTTCTCTGCCCATGCTGTCTGCTGCCTCTGAGTTCTGAGTGGTGTATGAGGTGAGGCTTGACAGCGTGGTGTTGAGTGAGAAATAAAGCCTTGGCTGCAGGAGGACCTGGTCATCTAATGGGCTTCGTTCTTCTCTGGGAGATCCGAGACAGTTAACCTCGCCTCTCCCAGCCTTAGTTTCCCAGTCTATAAAACAAGGATAAAAATAGCATCTACCTCATGATGTTAGGGCCTCGCCCTTTCCCAGAGTGAATCTAACGACAGGGCAGGGCAGCCTTCTCACCTGGGGCAGGGAGGTGCTGCGAACGCTGTAGGCGATGCTACCCAGTGAAGGGGTATCCAGGAAGTCCCTTTCAGAGAGACATGAACTTGTGGAGTCTGCCATCTCATGTCACCACCCTGACCGGGGAGCAGAGACCTGGCTGTCTTGCCCAGGTGATCCTTCAGGGGCTGCTGTAGGCACAGCCTCCCAGCCAGCACACCTCATGATCCTGCCATTGGCACCCTGATTTAGAGGGTGCTGTCCTCTGTCTTGCTCCAGGTTTGAGGGAGCTGGCCTCTGCCTTGCCCAGGGCTTGTGGCCTGCAGCCCACCCTAGCCCCACCCACAAAGAGGAAGTTGCCTGGGGCTCCCAGGGTGAGAAGCTGGGTGCTCTGGCCTGATGCCCTTCCCAGCCTAGCCTGTGCTCCTGGAACAGAATGTACCTTTTTAAAAGTAACTTTATAGCCCTTTTGTTTGTGGAGCATGTGCCTGCAGGGCACTGTCAGACCTCTTAAAGGGACAGGGTCCTTCTGCCCCTGCTAGCCCCCCAGTTCCCTCCAGGATAGCTATCAAACTGGGCTTTGGATTTGCACGTCCTTCTGGGGGAGGAGGAGCTTGGAGATAGTGCCTCCCTTCTCCCTCCACCCCCCATCCTCTCTGGCTGGCCTGGGGTGGGTAGGTGCCTCTTCCCTGCTTTCGGCTGGCATGGTGCCCAGAGCCAGGCCTAGGGCCTGACTGGAGAGGCACAGTCCCATGGAGGCCACAGCTATGCCAGCCTCCCGCCTCCCCAGTGGGTCCTAGCAAGCACATTCTTGGAACGAGTGGAGAAAGTCTCCCCTGCTCCTGTTCTAGTCCCAAGGGCCAGGGCTGCCCATACCTCCTCCCTGAGCTGAGGACCATTCCCTGCGCCCAGTTGGCCTATGGGTTCTGGATGGGGTGGAGATGTTGCCTCCTTTCTAGGCTCCTTGGGCAGCCCCTTCCCAGATCCAGCCCCACTCATACTCACAGGAAGGAGCTTTTAGTCTCTGACCCACTCATTCAGACACACTGAGAGTTTTACCCAGTTAACTCCGCCCACCTTGGAGTCTCCTGCAGTGCCCTGGCATCCATTTTTTTCTCACAGTTTGATAGGGGTCTGTGTACAGATCTATTTCAGTCTCTCATCCCCCTTCCCCTTCCCTCCACCATGACTCACATTTTCCTCTTGGGCTCCTGGGGCCAGGAAGGGAAGTCACTTGGTTTGCCCCCCCTTTCCTTCTCCCCCACTGGGGGCTATTCTTAGAAACCCCTGAGGGAGATAGTGTGCCCCCCTCTTCACCCCTGCTGCTGGGAGGGGAGCCTTGTAATCTGGACTGGGAAGGGAGACTGGGAGGCCAATGCTAGAGGGTCAGAGCTGGAAATGGCTCACTGGTTAACCAGACCCCCCTCCATCTGACCCAAGAAAAGTGAAACTGAGGTCCCAGAGATTAAGTGACCTGCCCAATTCGCAGGACTAGTTCTGGTTGCGGGCAGAGCCCAGAACTCCTGGTTTCTAGTTGGTGCTCTTTCCCTCCCTTCTCCCAAAACCAGAGCCCAGCCCCAGCCAACTCTGGGGTGGAGCCACAAATGCCAGGTTAACCCCTGAATTTCCAGAAGCACAGAGGCTGGCTTCTTTTAAACTTGCTCTTCAGTCAGTGCTACTGATAACTGAGGGCTGAACATCCTGGGATCAGGGTCCTAGGTCGTGGGGCCAAGTGTTAGGGGTGGCTGGGTATGGTGGCACCCCATCCCAGTTAGGAAGGGTTCTTTGTGTCTGTAGAATTGATGACTCCCAAGCCTGGACTCTGAGGCTGGGCCTCAAGAGCGGGTAAGTGGAGTGAGTAAAAATCTTGGGCACCTAGAATGTACTGTACACTAGGGTTAGAACAGAAGCTGTGGAGTCTGACTGTCCTGAACTCAAGTCCCACACCAGTTCACTACCAGCTGTGTGATCTTGGGCAAGTTACTGAGCTTCTCTGAACCTGAGTCCCTCCCCTTTAAAATGAGATAGTGTTACTTCATAGAGTTGTAAGAAATACATTTGTCAATGTATAGAAGACACATATATAGGATCTAGGCACATTGTAGGCAGCAAACAAATTAGCTCCTGTAGCGATAATAGTAACTATTATTATATCAGGGCTGGAAGGGACCTTAGAGATCTTCCTGTTCTCCCTCTCCACGTTCTATATGAACAAACAGAGGCCCAGAGAGATGAGATAACTTGTCCTGGGCACTCACTGGAAAATGTCGAGCTCAGGTTTCCTGGACACTGTCCTGCAAGGAGAAACATATGCAGAAGCAGCAACACTTGTCTTTTGTTTAGGGTGTTTGTGGGGCAGGAAATCATAGTGTGCTGGGCTCAGGCTCGTGACCTACCTGGCCCTGGTTGGTGCTTCTATTACCATGAGCTGTGAAAAGATCTTGTTTCTAGCCATGCAGTGATCCAGGAAGGGAGCTGGAGTCCCATGGGGGATAGGGGAGATGTATTGCAGGCGTAGGTACACTTAGGGACAGACGGCACAGGATCTGGGCTTCCTCTGCAAAGGAGTTTATTTACAGAATCTAGCTAGTCACGCCTGTGCATGGGCAGGCTGGTCACCTGTCTGCCTCTGCCACCTCCTGCAGCTTGGTGCCAACATGCTGCTGTTCCTCTGTACCAACGTTATTGGCATCTGCACACACTACCCAGCTGAGGTGTCTCAGCGCCAGGCCTTTCAAGAGACTCGTGGCTACATCCAAGCCCGGCTGCACCTGCAGCATGAGAATCGGCAGCAGGTAGGGCTGTTCTCCTTGAGGTGCCTTCCCTCACCTCACCCCAAATAACTTGCAGGTTGGATCTGCTGCTTCATGCAACTCCGTGGAATAAGCGTGAATGGTTCCCTGATTGTGTATCACAGAGGCCCTATTCCACTGGGGTTTCTGTCCTGAGGGTGGGAGGTAGAAGATGGGAGCACATCTAAGGGGTAGTTGAATGGGGGGTGGTCAGAGAGGGCTCAGATGTCCATCTGCTGAGGGCTCTAATGGAGAAGGGTCAGGCTACTGCCCAGAAGGGAAGCTCAGGTCTCCAGAGAGGTCTGGGAGGGCTCTGGGGATGTGGAGGAACCAGGAGGGATTAAAAAGTAAAGGCAAGAAAATGGTGGTACCCTGTCAAAACCACTGGTCTAGGAGCGGCTACTGCTGTCGGTGTTGCCCCAGCACGTTGCCATGGAGATGAAAGAAGACATCAACACAAAGAAAGAAGACATGATGTTCCACAAGATCTACATCCAGAAGCATGACAATGTCAGGTAGGGTGGGGTGGGAGGATGCCAGGAAAAGTGGGGGATCTGGGAGTCTTTGAGGGCCACGTGGCACCTTCCATCTTTTGCCATCGTCCACAGCATCCTGTTTGCAGACATCGAAGGTTTTACCAGCCTGGCATCCCAGTGCACCGCACAGGAGCTGGTCATGACCCTGAATGAGCTCTTTGCCCGGTTTGACAAGTTGGCTGCGGTGAGGGTGCTAGGGCTTGGGGGCAGGGCCGACTGGGGTGAGAGCAGAGCCTTGCTGGCGGCAGCCTGTAGGTGTGGGGCAGATACAGTCTGCAGTGAGGGTGGTGGGCCAGGCAGGCAGGATGGGCAGGAGAGTAAGGTGACTCTCCCCCAACTCTTTCTTCTTTAGGAAAATCACTGCCTGAGGATCAAGATCTTAGGGGACTGTTACTACTGTGTGTCAGGATTGCCTGAGGCCCGGGCAGACCATGCCCACTGCTGTGTGGAGATGGGGGTGGACATGATCGAGGCCATCTCGTAAGCAGCACCCCCTCCCAGGCTTTCTGGAACTGAAGGTGCCCCAGTCTGCTTCTACCCTTTGATATGTCCTCAGGGTTTTTCCTTAGTTTTGGCCATTTTCTCTGTCTTTGAGGTCTATTACTGGGGAGGAGGGTAGATCTCTCTTAAGCCCCTGTAAAGACCCCTGTGTACCTGATACTCCTGCCAGTGGGGATGGGGTAGGGGGAGCCAGGCTGAGAGGCTGGAGAGAACGGGAGCTGAACAGACCCGTGTCGTCCTCCTCTCCTAGTTCAGTTCCACAAAATGCCCCTGGGTCCCTGCTGGTGAACCCAGTTCTCAAACATTTGTCCTTGAGCCCCATGCAGCCTTCTGTCTCCATCCAGCCAAGACTGTGCTCCTGTGCCCTGCATTGGGGTCTGTTCTTGCCCACCTGGCTCTGAGGGGAGCAGAGGGCCTGGGCTCTGGGCTGGGAGTGGGGAAGACCATGCCAGGAGCTGAGCCAGGGCTGCCTCCTCTCAGGCTGGTGCGTGAGGTGACAGGTGTGAACGTGAACATGCGCGTGGGCATCCATAGCGGGCGCGTGCACTGCGGTGTCCTTGGCCTGCGGAAATGGCAATTCGATGTGTGGTCCAATGACGTGACTCTGGCCAACCACATGGAGGCGGGGGGCCGGGCCGGGTGAGTGTGGGGTCCAGGTGGTGAGGATGGGAGCTAGGTGGAAGAGCCTGGGTCTCACCTTCTTGTACCCACACAGCCGCATCCACATCACTCGGGCCACGCTGCAGTACCTGAATGGGGACTACGAGGTGGAGCCTGGCCATGGTGGTGAGCGCAATGCATACCTCAAGGAGCAGCACATTGAGACCTTCCTCATCCTGGGCACCAGCCAGAAACGGGTCAGGCCAGAGTGGGTCAGGGGAGGGGTGGGTGGGCAGAAGGACAAATGAGGTTGCAGGCAGAGGCCTTCTCTGGGCCCCTTTCCTGAGCCTATACCCGTGCTGCCTACACAGAAAGAGGAGAAGGCCATGCTGGCCAAGCTGCAGCGGACGCGGGCCAACTCTGTGGAAGGGCTGATGCCACGCTGGGTGCCTGACCGAGCCTTCTCCCGGACCAAGGACTCCAAGGCTTTCCGCCAGATGGTGAGGGCCCACAGCACCAGGAGCTGGGCCTCACTTTCCTGTCTCCCTTAACACTCTGTGTCCCCCTTCCCTCTTCTGCCTTCCTTGGTGTGGCTGCCATTGCTATGAATGATTTCTGGTATTGGGGGTAGGAGGGTGATTTCATTCCAGGAGTTCCAAGCACCCCAAGGCATATGGGGGAACCCTCAGCAGTGTTAGGATGGGGAAGCAGGGCAGACGACTTTCACCTCACTTGTACACTCTGTCCCTTTCTCTAGGGCATTGATGATTCCAGCAAAGACAAGTAAGTCAGGCTGCTGAGGAGGGAGAGGAGGAAGGGGGAAGGCATTTGCACCTGGGACAGGGTTGTGGGGAGTAGAGGTCCCCTCCCTCTCCTGGACTATAGATGTGTTGTTTGGGAGCAGTTGCCACACACTCGCTCACACTCCCCCTGGGCGCTGCCCATGCCCTTCGCTTCATATTGCCTCTCACATGGCCCTGCTCATGCACCTGGTGAAGCCATGTCCCCTGCCCTCAGCCGGGGTGCCCAAGATGCCCTGAACCCTGAGGATGAGGTAGATGAGTTCCTGGGCCGTGCCATTGATGCCCGTAGCATCGATCAGCTGCGCAAGGACCACGTGCGCCGGTTCCTGCTCACCTTCCAGAGAGAGGATCTTGAAAAGAAGGTTTGGGGGATGCAGGTGGAGGAGGGCTGGGGGAGGAGGCAGGTCCAGGCAGGGAAGTCTGAGCACAGGCCAGTGAACAGTACTGGGTTTTGGAGAATGGGGAGGTGACCAGAGATCATGGCAGGGATTCCTTTCAACCGGGTCAACTGCTTCTCACCCGTGAGGCCCCTGGTAGCGCCCTCCTCCCCAGGAGAGAGCTCAGCGCCAGCTCAGCCTCCTCTCCCTCAGTACTCACAGAAAGTGGATCCCCGTTTCGGAGCCTACGTGGCCTGTGCCCTGTTGGTCTTCTGCTTCATCTGCTTCATCCAGCTTCTCGTCTTCCCACAGTGAGAACCCTGCCCCTCCTTGCTCAGCTTCTCTTCCTCCAGCACTTCCCAGGACCTTCCTAAACACCCACATGAGCCCACAGTCCCTGGAGCCTGAGCCCTGTCCGTCTGGGGAGTGGGAAGTGGGACAAGGACACCCAGATCTTCCAGAGTAACATTTTCTCGGGCTCTCTCCTGCCCCAGCTCAATGCTGATGTTTGGGATCTATGCCGGGATCTTCCTACTGCTGCTGATCACTGTGCTGACTTGCGCGGTGTACTCCTGTGGCTCTGTGAGTAGGGGACTTCTGGGGCTGGTGTGGGCAGGCAGCTTCCAGGGCTGGTGGTGGGCAGGCCGGGCCAGAGGTGGTTACATGGGGTGAGGGAGGAGAAGGTTGTGTCTCTTCCATTGGGCCACACCCCTGGATGGCCTTACCCATGGCTGATGTGCCCTCCAACTCATCTGTCCCCTGCCTACAGCTTTGCCCTAAGGCCCTGCAACGCCTGTCGCGCAGCATTGTACGCTCGCGGGCACACAGCACTGCAGTTGGCATCTTTTCGGTCCTGCTTGTGTTCACCTCCGCCATCGCCAACATGGTAAAGGTCCTCCCTCCTTGTGCCAAGCCTGCTCTGGGCGCTGGGGTACAGAGATGATTAAGGCACATTTCCTCCCCTCCGGGAGCTTGTTCTCCGAAAGGAGGGGGTGAGGTCCACTCTAGTCCTCCCTCCTCCTTGATCTCGCCACCTCTTGTCATCCCTCTTTGAGAACTTGGGCCCCTGGGGTATAAGGCACCTGGGCAAGGCCCTCCCTTCCTTGGTTACCCTGATATACCTCCCTCCACTTTTGCAGTTCACCTGTAACCACACCCCCATACGGACCTGTGCAGCCCGGATGCTGAATTTAACACCTGCTGACATCACCGCCTGCCACCTGCAGCAGCTCAATTATTCTCTGGGCCTTGATGCTCCCCTGTGTGAGGGCACCGCACCCACCTGCAGCTTCCCTGAGGTGTCCAAGGAGTGCTCAGGAAGGGCAGGGGGAGGGGTTTCCTGATTAGCACCAGTTATTGACCCCTCTGTGCCAGGCCTGGTGATGGGCACTGGAGACCCAGGATCTCACCAGAGTTGCCAACTCTAGGAGCAGCCAGGGGCCCTGGTAGGGGATGACTGGAGGGTGGAAGAGGTTCAGGTTTGAGGTTGTGGAGGGGAGCTTAGGTCAGGCAGGGGAGTGCAGGGCTCTCTCTGCATGGGGACACCTTGGCTTCTGCTTTTACCCAATACCACCTCTGCTGTTGCCCCCAGTACTTTGTCGGGAACATGCTGCTGAGTCTGTTGGCGAGCTCTGTCTTCCTGCACATCAATAGCATCGGGAAGTTGGCCATGATCTTTGTCCTGGGGCTCATCTATTTGGTGCTGCTTCTACTGGGCCCCCCAGCCACTATCTTTGACAACTATGATCTGCTGCTTGGAGTCCATGGCTTGTGAGTTCATCCTCGGGCCCTTTCATCCCCCAGATGCCCGGTGCCCAGGTCCCTTGTGCCCTTGGAATGTCACCACTCACCCCTTACCAGTGGCGGGGAAGGAGGCAGTGGAGGAGCTCCCAGCATATAATCCTAAACTGTCACCCAAGGAAACACCAGTGCTGGGAAATTCCTGTGTCTTTAGGTTAGACATTTTAAAAAAAATCTCCTTTTGAATTTGCATGATGCTTTCATATCCACTCCTGTAGGTCACACAGCTGCATGGTGGTAGAGCCCTGGCTAGGAATCAAAACTTCTGACTCCTGCTTGAGGGCTTTGTCTGGGACACCACTCTGGCTTTCCTCTGTAAACTGCCCCCCTTGTGATGTGGCCACAGCTTGGTGTAGTTGAAAAAGTCTCTGGAGTCCACTGGGTTTGAATCTCTGCTCTGCCACTCATTAGCTATGTGACCTTGGACAGGTGAATTAACTTTTCTGAGCCTCAATTTCCTCATCTGTAAAATGACAATGCCACCTATATAACAGGGTGGTTGTAAAGATGATAGTAACTAACACTGTTGTGCTAAGCCTTTTGCATGCACTATTTAGATCTGATACCTCTTTTATTGATGAGGAAACAGGCTTGGAGAGTTGAGCAACTTGTTCCAGGTCACATAGCTGGTAAGTAGAGGAACCAGGAGTGGAACCTCTGTTCTTAATGAGTGACTATAAGCAAAGCCCTGGCCCAATGCCTGGTTTATGATATGTGCTCAATAAGTGCAGTTTCTGTCTCCCCTTCCCTGCCCCCACACAGTATCCCAGGAACAACCGATGACTTTGTCTCTTGTGTCTTCCTGCCAGGGCTTCTTCCAATGAGACCTTCAGTGGGCTGGACTGGTAAGTGAGGGCTCTGAGGCAGTGAAGGGTAGGGCTGCCACATGCCTCCTTCAGACACTGAGCATGCCTCTGCTTACCTGCAGCCCAGCTGCAGGGAGGGTGGCACTCAAATACATGACCCCCGTGATTCTGCTGGTGTTTGCGCTGGCACTGTATCTGCATGCTCAGCAGGTGGAATCGACTGCCCGCCTGGACTTCCTCTGGAAACTGCAGGTGACTGGGTGGGCCGGGGGAATAGGGGGGGGATAGATTTTGGGGGCAGAGCCTCGGCCAAACCAGAAATGCATCTCGTTAGCTCGCCAAGGCTCTGGCTGCCCCAAGCCCACCTTGGCTCCATGCCTTCTCTGTGTCCCTGCCCCCTTCACCCCTTTGCCTGTTCTTAAGGCCTTATCTGTCCATGCCTTTCTTCTCCCACGTGGTTCCCTCTGATGCCCATCTCCAGGCGTTGGCTGCTGCACCCACCCCTTGTGAGTGTTGGGCAATGGGTGATGGGTGTGGTGTCCACAGGCAACAGGGGAGAAGGAGGAGATGGAGGAGCTCCAGGCATACAACCGGCGTCTGCTGCATAACATCCTGCCCAAGGATGTGGCCGCCCACTTTCTGGCCCGGGAGCGCCGGAATGATGAGCTGTACTATCAGTCTTGTGAGTGTGTGGCTGTCATGTTTGCCTCCATTGCCAACTTCTCTGAGTTCTACGTGGAGCTGGAGGCAAACAATGAGGGTGTCGAGTGCCTTCGGCTGCTCAATGAGATCATCGCTGACTTTGATGAGGTACTTGTCCAGTCACCTGGTGCTGGCAGGGTGGGGAGAACTGTGGCTGAGGTGGCCAGGATTGGAGAGGGTGGGTGGGGAAGGTAGGGAAATTTGACGGGACCCAGAGATGTGAGGGGCAGGGGTAAGGGTAGGTACAGTGGAGGCAAGATAGGGACCCATACAGGTGTTAAGAGGCAGCAAGGAGGTGAGCCCCAGTGGGGTAGGGTCATTGTTGGAGAGCGAAGGAGGACAAGAGGATCTGGAGGAGACAGGATAGGTACCAGGTGAAGGTCATTGAAGAGAAAGGCAAGAGTCTATGGACAGAGCCCCATAAGGCCAAGTAAGCAAGATGGTCCCTCTGAATAGAGGAAATAGAAGGAAAATATATGGAAGTGTCCTGAACCTCCAAATCAGCAATGGGCTCTCCACTGTTCTGGAGGGGAGGCACTTCCTAACTCTGGGCCTCAGTTTCCCAAAAGGTCAGGGTTGGTATAACTGATACTTGATATCCCTTCTGTGGTTCTGGAATCTGTGAGTGAGCTATTGAATTGACCTGAAGCTCTGTGCTCAAGCCCCAGCCTGGGTTCTGATGGCTGCCTGGTGAAGGAGGCCTTGTTTTCCTGGTTCCTCAGCCCTGCTCTGAGAGCAGCAGCTGGAGGGGGAGCTGCTAAGACAGGGCAGTGGGGAAGGGGGCCAGGGCATGGCAAGGAATGAGCACCGGGGCAGGGCTGGGTTTGGCCTCTTTGCCTTGACAGCGGGTCCCCCTGTGCTGTCCAGATCATCAGTGAGGAGAGGTTCCGGCAGCTGGAGAAGATCAAGACGATTGGTAGCACCTACATGGCTGCCTCTGGGCTGAACGCCAGCACCTATGATCAGGTGGGCCGCTCCCACATCACTGCCCTCGCTGACTACGCTATGCGGCTCATGGAGCAGATGAAGCACATCAATGAGCACTCCTTCAACAATTTCCAGATGAAGATTGGTGAGAGGGTCTGGTGGCCTGGAGGGTTTTCTCAGGGCTGTTCCAGGGGGGAAGCTCAGGGAGCAGGCAGGATGGCATCACAGATTCCCCACCAGGACTCTTGTGGGTTTTCTTTCTCTCACTATATTGTCTGCCATGAAGGACAGAGATCATTCATTGAGGCCCAGCTATGTGCTAGGCACTGTTTTAGACATTTGTGAGCACACTTTAATCCTCACATTATCATCCCCTTTTACAGATAAAGAAACTGAGTCTCAGAGATTAACTAGTAAGTGGTTGAACTGGGATTCAAAACCAGGTTTATGTCAACTCTAGTACTTGTGCCCTTATCTACAGCCAGTCTGATAAGAGGCACTTCCTCTCAGATGAACTGAGGATGGGAGTGGTTAATGGCATGGCTTCTGGAGTCAGACTGTCTGGTTTGAATTCTGGATATTGCGTGTACTGGCTTATTTAGCAAGTCACCTAACTTCTCTTAGCTTCACTTGCCTTATCTGTAAAATGGGGTTAACAATACCTACGTTTTAGGGTTGTTGAGAGGACGAAAGGCTAGTGAAAACATTTACCAGAGTGGCTAGCACAGAGCGCACATTCAGTAGGTTAGCTACTGTTTCTGCAGAGCCGCCCTGACTTGTGGGAGCTCCTCAACTGACAGGACCATTCTTTACAACCAGGACACTTGTCCCTTTGCCATTTTCTTCTCTGGATCCTTCTAAAGGTGCCAGGAGGTGGGATGACTCCCTGGGCTGACTCTGGTACAGCCACTCATCTCAGTGTCTTACTGCTCTCTCCACCCCAGGACTGAACATGGGCCCTGTGGTGGCAGGCGTCATTGGGGCTCGGAAGCCACAGTATGACATCTGGGGGAATACAGTGAATGTCTCTAGCCGGATGGACAGCACAGGGGTTCCTGACCGAATCCAGGTGAGGGGAATGTGAATAGAGGTTGGGATGGGTCTGGGTCTGGGGGACTTCTGAAGGTCCCTTTCTGCAGTCCTTAGGACAGGGATAGGGTGGCAGTGTGCTGTGGTTGGTGGGGTGGGGACTGGGGGAAGGCAGCTAGTGTGACGAGAGGACCTCTGGGCCCCTACAAATGTAGCAGGAAGGATCCCAGGCTAAGCTATCTCCGTTCCCACCCCCCTAGGTGACCACGGACCTGTACCAGGTTCTAGCTGCCAAGGGCTACCAGCTGGAGTGTCGAGGGGTGGTCAAGGTGAAGGGCAAGGGGGAGATGACCACCTACTTCCTCAATGGGGGCCCCAGCAGTTAGCAGGGCCCAGCTAAAAAATTTAGCTGAAGGGACCAAGGTGGGCATTTGAGTGGACTCTGTGCTCGCTGGGTGAAGATGTGGCAGGGGGCACCTAGCCTCAAGACCCTGCTGACCATGAAAGGGAACATCCCAGCAGCCTGTGCTTGGACCATGCTCGTCTACCCTCAGGCTGGAGAATGAGGAGATACCAAGAGGGTTTTGCAAGTGACTTTCTTTTTAAATTGGGGCCAGGCTGTCCCTTTTCCTTTCTTCCAGCTTTTGGGAGCAGGGGAGGGGGTAGCAGTGGGAGCCTTCCTGCCTGAAAGACGGAAATGGCAGCTTGCCATGCCTACCCTTTCCCTGTCTGGGCAACAGGATCAGGGCTGGGCCCTTCATTTCCCTTTTTCCTGAGAATACTTTGTACAAAGACTGGGGCAGGTGTGAAGAGTGCCTATTCCATGCTTGCCTTTGCTATGCCTGCATCCCCAGCATGGTCCTGGGGACCCCCGACCCCAGCCAGCTCTCCCTCTTAGGCACAGGAAGAGGAGGGAGATGCTCTTGGGACCCAGCTCTGTGCATATTTCGGGGGAATGTTTCCATTTGCCAAATCCTAGTCCCATGATCTGTCCCCAAAGGGGAACAAAGGGACTTCTGACAGCTCAGATTTAGCCCCAGTTCCTGCAAAGTGCCAGGGAAAGGGGCATCTGGCCTCATTGGTACTGTGAAAATGCCGGGCCAGAGAGCAGGCATTTGTGTGGGAATGTCAGAGCAGGAGCTGGAAGTTCACCTGCAGGTGCCAAAGAGAGCAGGCTTGCCAGGGAGAGGGGTGGGGCCGGACTCTGGTCTGAGGGCCCGATGATCAGGATCAGGTCATCCTGCCCCAGTGCTCTCTTACTGTCTGCTGGCAAGGGGGCATGGAGCATCTCTACCCCATCTATTGCCAAATTAGAAAAGGGCCAGGGCATGGAGGAAAATGACCCTGATCCCATACTGTCCTTCCAAGCCTTTGGCATTGGGGAGGGCCTGTGTGTCTGTGCAATGTGTGTGCATGTCAGTCTTTGTGTGTGTCTGTTGTCCAGGGCTGTATGTCCTTGTGCTCCAGTTCCTCAGCTCTCCACCCCAGGCTGCCTCTCTCCTATGGGCCTCTTGTCTTCTGGGAATAAGGCAGGGTTTCTGGTTTCAAAGGATGGAGAGAGACACCCAGGTTGCATAGGAATGGGATTTGGTGTCGTAGGAAGAGAAGGGGTTCCCTCCCCCAAAAAGAGAGAAGGGGTCCCTGAGGAAAAGAGTCCTTTTTGTGCCAAATCCCTAAGTGCCATTTGGTGGCCATGTGTGCAGCATGACTATCTCCTTGCCTGAGGCAGAGACCAAGCCTGAACTGTCTGGGGTTTGGTGGGCAGAGGCTCAGGACTTGCCTGGGTTTCCCAGCTGGTGTCCTGGGGCGTGGTATGCTTTGGGACTAGTATAGCATGGGATCCCTCTGAGGACCCAGATACTGGTACTAAGGGATGGGGCAGGGGAACCTGAAAGTTGTCCTTCCCCAGCCTTCAGCCTGAGTCTAGCACGTTCCTGGCTCCCCGATCCCCATGAAGCCTGCAAGGGCTGGCAGGAGGGTTAGGAGGCTGGACTCTGTTCCCTTCTTATTCCTGCCTCCTTTTTAATCTCTTTCCCTGCAACCTCTTGCCTCTGGCCTGAATTAGTTGGTGCCTTGGTTTCTCTGTCAGTACCTATTTAAACCAGGGTCACTAGCCTGAATTTTGCTTGAAGATTGCATTGTCTTGGAGGTCATTAGAGGGAGAGGAGAAAGGGCTCCAGAGTTGCTGGGTTGGGGTAGAAGGGGCAGGTGGCACTCTTGCCCTTCCTCATGCCCTTTCTGACTCTAGCTCCTGGTAGAGGCCTGGTTTCTGATTTGAACTGCCTGCCTTGGAGGATCTTCATGCATCAACCAAACAGGCCATTAGGCACTTCATTAGCCAGGGCAGGAGGAGGGGAAAAGACTAGTTGGTCTAGACTGAAAATCAACTTCCCTCCCCCAAGCCATATCCCTGGATAGGAAGGGACTGCTTGGAGCTATGGGGTGGGCGTGAGGGTAGAAGGGGACCAGAGCAGGAACACCTCAGTCTTTGGTGACTTGTCTCTGCTTCTTGCTAGGCAGGAAGGACATGTCCACACCCTGGCTCCCTGTACCACAGTGCCAGCCATGCTCTTCCCCTGGGCTACCACTGTCTCCTTCCTCACCAGTTGGTGGGGGAAATCGGTGGATGGGAGGCCCAGGGACTTGGTTTTATACTGTAACCACTGTGGGAGGGGGGATGGTGATGTACCATGTATTTCAGTGAAATATTTAATATATTTAAATATCAATAAAATCAAACTCTTTGTAAAATTTCCTGTTCTCTGCAGCTGTTCTGGGCTCCGGGTTGGGATCAGAATGGGAGGCAGCCTCCTGCCTGAGGGCTTGGTGGACCTTTCCTGTCTATAGTCAGAGGGCTTCCTCTGCTTTTCTCCCGGCCAAGGTGAAGCTGCAGTGTCTTCAGAGAGCATAACTACTCTAGGTCCTTCAGCATCATGAGGACCAATGAGTCTTCCCAGATCTGACCTCTTTCACATATGAGGTTAGGACCCCCCATGGTGGTCTTTCCAGTGTCCTGGCCCCTCCCAAATCAAACACCAAGTTCTGGCTGCTTCAGGAACTTCTCACATACCTAATTTCACAGGAATTTGGGCACTGGGATGATTTCCCTCCCCATCATGTTCAGTGCATACAAGTGACTTCTGGTCCAATCTAAAGTTCACTGCTTTTTCAATCCCCTCCTCCCATAAGTCAGCCATCAGGACCAGGACACCTTCCTCTTTCCCCTTCCTCCTCCTTCTGCAGTCCATCCTGTCCTTCTGCAAACACGTCATGCTCAATACAGACTAAAGAGTCTGTCACTGAGGGTAGAGTGATCCATAAACCTGGAAAAGAGAGGGTCTCATGCAGCCAGGCCAGGTTGGAGTGTGTGTGTGTGTGGTGGTGGTGGGGCCTTAAACATAGCCCTCGAGACTGCCTCAGGGGTGAGGAAGTAGGGCTACTGCCAATGGATGGTGGCTGGAGGGCAGGGAGGCAGCAGTGGAGGGGGGATTCCCACAGGAATGCTATAGACACTTGTCTTGTGCCTGCTCAGAAGCCCTATCCACAAGGCGAATCAAAGACACAAATCTTTAAGTCCTTTGAATGCCACCACTGCCCAAATTCTTACCCACTTTCCCTGGTAAGGCCTTCTATTCCCTAACTCTGAGTAGAGATGATAAAGCTTCTAGAGATTTGAGTGAGGGTAGGGAGTACGTCCCTTGGTCCCCCCACCTACCCCTCCCAGCCTAACCTGGTCATCGGGCTTTTAATGAGGCAGCGGCGAGGGCTGCGGATCCAGGGCATGGTTTCCTCCGGGCGCTCTCCTGGATCGTGGGATCTCCAGAAGCTGAAGTTCTGAGCGTCAGTCAAGGGGACTCTAAAGACTTGATTGGGGACTGAAAGGTTTGGGGAAGGACGTGTTATCCGATTTCTTTGCGTTCTCTACTCCCTTTTGTGCCTCATGCCCAGCCTGGCCGCTGGGTCTGACCCAGTGCTGAGAAGCCCCAGGAATTTGGTTACCACACCCAGCTTTACTTCCTGATTCCAGCACCTCACACCCTTCATGGTCAGTTGAATCAGTTTTGGTTCTTCCTGGAGTTACTAAGCCCATCTCCAAGAGAGCTTTCTCCAAGTGCTAAGATAGTGGGAAAACAAGTACTTAATCCACTTGGGAAATGTGCAAGATGGGTCCACAGATTCTTTTTTTTTGGCTTAATCACCCTCATTCCCTTCACTCCTCTCAGAAATAGTTCCTTTGTTCATTTCAGGTAATTCTCTGAAACTTAGCAATGATACTACCTCATGTTTACATACTGCTAATAGATATCATTTATCAAGCATCATCATGTTCTAAATGTTGTATTAGAGGTGTTCTTAAAAGAGTGTCAGAACTATTTAGATATTTTCATATTTTCACTATTTACTTGGATAAATCTATACCAGTGTATAAAATTGTTATATTTTTAAAATTCAGAATTATAGCCTAATATTCTGAGCATATAGTCTTTATAAACATTATTAAAAAATCTCTAACAGCCTGGCTGGCGTGGTTCAGTGGTTGAGCATCAACCTATGATCCAGAAGATTACAGTTCGATTCCTGGTCAGGGCACATGCCCAGGTTGTGGGCTCCATCCCCAGTAGGGGGTGTGCAGGAGGCAGCCAGTCAATAACTCTCATCATTGATGTTTCTATCTCCCTCTCCCTTCCTCTCTCTGAAATCAATAAAGACATATTTTAAAAATATATCCCTAATATACCATCGAGTAAATGTTACATTTTTGGCTTGTTTTCTTGTTAATTGATAATAAGCTTTTAAAAAGTTTTGCTATTAGAAATAGTTCTTAGGTACGCCTTCATGTATGTCTTTTTAATTTTATTTTTTCTAATCCTCTCCAAGGATATTTTTTCCATTGCTTTTCAGAGTGGAAAGGGGGGAGAGAGAGAGAGAGAGAAACATCGATGTGCAAGAGACACATGGATTGGTTGCTTCCTGCCTGGGCCCCAACTGGGGCCAGAGATTGAACCTGCAACTGAGGTACGTGCCCTTGGCTGGAATCAAACCCGGGACCCTTCAGTCTGCAGGCTGATGTTCTAACCACGAGCAAAACCAGCTAGGGCCGGTTAAGTGTTTAAAGGAACTTCCTCAAGGTCACACAACTTGTTTGGAACTTAAACTCAGTTCAAATTCCGAAGCTAGTGCTTGGTCTCCGCTCCTCAGAGGCATAGCAATAACAACATACAAGTACTTTCCTATATTGTCTCATTTTTGGTTTGATCCTCATAGCAATTCTGTAAGATTGTAGAGCAGGCGTTTTCTGTTTCTTGTTCTGTTTTTTAATGAATGAGGAAGCAGGTTAATTAAGGATAAGTGACTACTCAAGGTGAGACACTTAAAAGAGGCAGAACTAGGACTCAAACCTGGATCTTCTGCTTCCAAGTCTGATTCCATTTCTATTTTATGCTGCTCACTCCACCACTCAGGTCTACTTTCTCCCTTGTCTTCTCAGTCTCCCTTCTTGGCTCTTTTTATTGCTGCCCCATAACGATGCCTCGCCTCAGCCCAGCCATTCTTTAGGAACTCAGACACAGCCCATTCAAAGGTACTTACATGTCTTTAACAGCACCTTCCGTACAGCTCGGTGGTACTTTGTGTGGCTATTCTGGTGCACAGAATAATTCCCATCTTTTGAGATAATCGGGGGAAGCTTCGTGGGCACCAGTTCCTTGTGGTCTGAAACGAGAGCGGGCTTGATCTGAGTACTCGACAAATGGGCCTCGTTGATTCTCTGAGTCTCTAGTCTCCATGCCAGCCAGGGACATGGTAGGGATCTCTCCTAGCCGCTCACATCTGATTCTCCATTCTTGGGATCTCAGGAGTCAAATCACAATGCCTGTGACAGAGGGGTGAGGGAGAACCCCATGATCCAGAGACCTCCACCACTCTCTTGCTCCTCCCTGACTCCTGGGCTTTGAGTCACCTGCTGGAATCAAGATATGGATAGATACTTAGGGTTAGTGCAGGGGGAAAAAGGCACTTTATCTGAATGGACACTCCCTTTCTGGGATTGGCATATTTGCAGAGCTTTAAAGGGGAAGTTATGGTTGAGCTAAGTCTTGGAGAGTAAGGAGTTCGTGGGACATGGTACAGTAAAACCTGGATATAATGGGTTAATTTGGGCGAGGGAATGTCCATTAAAGCTGAAAGTCCGTTATATAATAAAGTAGGTTTTCCAAATATGTATGTTAAAAAATTAGTTAGTTTACCTGCTTTTACTTATGTAGACATGTTTATGTAATTAAAATTAAGTATGTATAAAAAATTTATTTTCACAGAAAAGCTTTCTATATGTATTACTATAATTTTAAATTTATACTGAATAGGCCTAGTAAATGCGTGCATTCACCAGTCACCATGAGTGCACAGGGGCACACGGCTGGGGCGTGGCTTAGCGCTCGTGGGAGCCTTGCCAGTTTGCCTTAAAACTGCCGCAGAAAGTCACACCACAGGGCAACAGAACCAATAACCACTCACAATGCAGCATGATCATGTGCTAATCATTCACTGAGCATTGTCTACTTGTGGTGACTCTTGGATTTAAATATGTAGACTATAGTTGTAGATATGTAATATTTATTATGTAATATTTATTTATGTTGGTGAAATTATTGTAGTGTTTTTTTCCAACATATGGCCTATTTGCTAAAATTTGTTAAAAATAACTGAATTAATAATAATAAAAAAATCCTGTTAATTATAAGCAAATCTTGGTTAAAAGCATTTTAAAATTAATGGGGTGTTAATTTTCACATATGACATATGGACTGGAAATTTTGTCCATTAAATCCAAAGTTTGTTAAAGCGAGGTCTGAAAAATCAAGGGTTTACTGTAATATCAGGAAGAGCATGTCAGGCAGCAGGATAGCAAGTGTTAGAAGTATTAGAGAGGTCTCAACTTGCTATTGATCTGGAGCCTGATTAGTGCTGCTATAGTGGAGAGGGACAGGGGATGGGGCTAGCGCAGAGCAGGGTAGGGTGGGGTAGGACAGAGCGGAATAGTGTAGATCTAATTGTGAGGGTTTGGGAATCCCCTCTGAGGCAAAACCTATAAATCGCTAGGCTGAAAAGACCAGATCTTCCTTACTTGGCCAGTGCCATGGTCTGAATGTTTGTGTCCTCTCCCAAATTCGTGTGTTGAAAACTTAATACCCAAGGTAATGGTATTTGGAGGTGAGGGCTTTGGAGGTGATTAGATTGTGAGGGCAGAGGCCTCAACAATGGGATTAGTGTCCTTATATAAGAGGCCTGAGGGAGTTCCCTCATCCCTTCCACTATGTGGGGACACAGAGAAGTCTGAGACCTGGAAGAGGACTCTTACCTGAGCATGCTGGCACCCTGATCTTGGACTTCAGCCTCCAGAACAGTGAGAAATAAATCTGTTGTTTATAAGCCACCCAGTCTATGATATTTTGTTATAGCAGCCTGAACAGACTAAGACAGTGATTTTTAACCAGTGTCCTGCGGCAAAGAATTTGTAAAACATGCGATATCTAACCAATTAGTCAGGGGCACTGACATTTTTTCCCTTAGATTGTCAAATTAAAAAAAAATGACAACAGCCAACACAACAATAGCTATTTGGTGTGAATCAATCAAAATTATACCTTTTTTGGGTCAGATCGGCAAAAAAGATATTGTTTGGTGTGCCGCAGAAGCTTAGTAATTAGTTCCTGTGTGCCATGAGATGAACAAGGTTGAAAAATCGCTGGACT